TCTCAAAAGTATCGTCATATTTTTGAATTTTATTAGTGGTTTATTGTGTCATCGATCATTTGGTAATCTTATTATTATTATTATTATTATTATTATTATTATTATTATTATTATTATTATTATTATTATTATTATTATTATTATTATTATTAATATTATTATTATTATTATTATTATTATTATTATTATTTTGTATTTCCAATATTTTTTTTTAAAGCAGAAAAAAAAACAAGAGGAATGTTTGCAATGTATTATACAGTAGACCCAAGCATGAAATTAAAATGACACGCTAATGGACAATCTAATATATAATTGAACATTTAAACGCATATCCTTGCAATATAACCTGGAAGCCCTTTCCATCTACATTAGGGCTCTAAATTCATATTTATAAAATCCTATAATGACTATAGTATTATACAGTTTTTTTCATTACCTGTTAACAAGATAGTAACTTTAGCAATCATCCCTTTTCAGCCAGAATTTTATCATAAACACCAAACTTCCTCAATATGAAACAGGTAACGTTATGATCAAAGACATTTTGTCTAAAATTAGCATGGCTGAACCATTCATTATCAGCTTATATCCTCGTTATCTATTAAGGCGATTGCAACCGTTGGTAATCATGGTCTGGGATACACATTAAATGAAAGAGGACTTCGACTACTGGAATCTGCAAGGTTACATAAAGTAGCAATTGCCAACACACGACACAAACAGTAGCTATTAAGAAGAGTCACATGGACAGCACCAGTTGGCATCAAAAGGAATCAGATAGATTACATCCTGGTTAAAATGAAGTGGGCCAGCAGCATCAATGGTCACAAGACAAGGAACCTGATATTGGTAGCAATCATAATCTTATTATGGTAACCCTGAAACTAAAGCTGAAGAAAATCAGGAAGTCTTTAACCACCGGGGTGAAATAATATATTGCAAGACTGGATGATCCAGAAGTGCGAGAAGCCTTCAGTATACAAGTTGGTGAAAGGTTTGCGAAACTGCTAGTAATGACGGATACACAAGAAATGACGGACTTCACTGAGGTGGTGAACGAAACTGCCTTGAAAGGGCTAAGTAAATAAATGAAACAACCATGGATGTCTGCAAAAATATTGAAGAAGTGTGATGAATAAATAAAGTTAAATGCAACAAAATTCAATGATGAAGATTGTGGTAGAATAGAAAAAGTTGCCAATAACGGGCGAAATGAATTTAAAAAGGTGAAAGAAGACTTTCTGCTGAAAAGATGTGAAGAGATTGAAAGGGGTTTCGTGAAAAACAAATCAAAACTCGCATACGGGGTTGTAAGACAACTGACCAAAGAAAAGTCTAGACAAGTCTCTGTAATTGAAAATGCTTACGGAGACGAGAGGAAGAGGATGAAACAGAACTCTTGAAAGGTGAAATAGAGGAAGGTGTGAAGAAATTGAAGAATGGAAAAGCTGCAGGTTTATTAACATACCATCGGAACTTAATTATATAAAGTGGGGGACGCAGTATCATTGACGTTACACATATCTGCAACTCTGTGTGGAATAGTGAAGAGTGGCCATCACAATAGACAAAATCACTGAATGTACCACTCCCAAAGAATGGAGACTTGAGGAAATCTAGCAACTATAGAAATATAAATCTCATCAGTCATCCTAGAAAGGTCTGGGTTGAGAGCGGTTCTTACTTGGAGAGTTGGGTTCACATCTAAGCGATGCTTGGCTTGTTAAAGAAGCATGACAAGCTTCTTTAACCGGTAAAATTATGTGAATAATGATTTTATATCGAAGCTGACGAAGATGTCAGTTGGTTTGAGGTATATATCTTGAATGATCTTCAAAAAAAATGTTGTATATTAACGACATAATGTCTTGTATTGCCTGCTGTCGCGCAATGTAACGCGGAGAACATGCAACTCTTGAACACTCCTACGTATAGGAAGATCAATAGGGATCTTACACAATCCATCGAGATGAAGGTCGCAAGCAAATTACTCAAACCACATCGTTTGAAGGCGCTTTTAAAACACTTTACCACCAACTTTGACCTTCATCATCCATGTGCCCCAGATTGTTTGGACAACCGAAAATACATAAAACCGACATTTCGCTACGGCCCACCGTTTCTTCAAGAGAATCCCCAACATACTCCCTAGCCAAATTATACAGCCCGTTTACATTATCCACTGTCTTGTATTTTATAGCCACGCCCCACACACACACACACACACACACAGAACGTGATTACTATTGTTTAGTTTTCCAATGAGCAAGTTCTCACTCTTTAATTATGTATGTATTTCCCTTTTCGGGATATATGCAGATAATATTCTCCTATATTCTCCTAACCACCGGGACATTCTCAACAAAACAACAGTTCTTTACAGAAATATCTACGTGGTGCACCGCAAACATTTGATATATAGTTTATTTATATTAATTAATTGGCAAAGTGCGGCATGCTAAATTGTATGTATATATTTATAAACACATTTCTTAAAGAGGTTAAACACCTTACAGGCACATGCTTTCTGCATTTATTCTGATTGTTTTTATTATTGTTTTATTACAATGGAAATTAGACTAAATTGAATTAAACGAAACTATTTTATACATGATGGGAAAACACGTTATATCGTCATTGCGGACTTATAAAATCCGCATACGCCTTAAAAATAAAAGAAAATGCATACATTTAGAGTCCGTACTGAGCCCAAAAAATCCGCAATGAAAATATAACGTGTTGGAACTAAATTATTGCTAGTACAGTAAAATACAATTATAATATTATTAAGAAATTGTTATGGATTATGGTTATTCTTACACTTACTCTAGGTTTAATCCCTCCTCCTACACCTACTCTTATTTCTACTGTTATTCTCTTTTTTTACTATTATTATTATTATCATCATCATCATCATCATCATCATCATCATCATCATCATCATCATCATCATCATCATCATCATTATTATTATTATTATTATTATTATTTTTATTATTATTATTATTATTATTATTATTATATTATTATTATTATTATTATTATTATCATTATTATTATTAATATCTTCATTATTATCGTTACTATTATTATTATTGTTATTATTATTATTATTATATGTTATCTTGGTTATTAAATACATTATAAACAATGTACTGTACTTAAAATTTAGTTACAGTATCAACAGTGAATGTGCTTCTCCATACCAAAGTTACTGAAACCTGTTTTCCATACAATCGCTACACACTATTCCCGACAGCTTTCGGTGATGCTGATTGGTTAGTTGAAACAGGGAGCCTTCCCGATTGCGTAAGGGACTGCTACGCAGTACAACGACTGCAATGAAAACACTGTAGCAACAATGTAGCGATTTTAAGGAAACCAGACATAAAGTATTGTACACACATTTAGAATAGGCCTACTCTATTTTCAGGTGGTTACTATCAAAACGAGCGTGGACATGTCGAAAGCGGTAATTACAAAACCGACTGTAAACGGTGCCCAAATGGAACATTTTCTCCTCGTCTTGGTGCTGCCTCGATATTTGAATGTCGGTCATGTCCTACTGGAACAGATACAGATGCAAGAGCAGATCTTGACGCGTGTCCATGCTTAGAGAAGTTCCATCGCACTTACCGCTACGGCGCATGTCAGCCGTGTCCAAACGGCGTCGATTGCACAGGTGGTTACCAGAAATTGTTGGCTGGTTATTGGTGGTCGTGGAATTTCACAGGTTATATTGGTCCAGCTTATCTTGGGAGTTTTGACGAGTACGACCAGTTTGTTAAGAACCTTAGTGATTCCAATTTTAACATTTCAACACCTAACAGTCTGAACGATACAGAATACAAAGGATTTCTCCCTGCAGTCCATTTGTGTCCACGAAGTGACAGTTGTCTTGGTGGAGGTTTTGAAGCAAACTGCTCAAAGGGGTATTCGGCCTGGTTGTGTGCTGAGTGCAGTGCCGACTATTACGAATTATTTGACAAATGCCACAAATGTCAAGATATTAAAATTATAATCATTGTGATGATTTTGGTACTATTGACAATCGTATGTGTTGCCTACGGGGTGTGGAGACTTAATAAACGACCAGTGACAGGCGCCTCAGTACGAAACGACTCTTTTGTGATTCACTTAAAAATTGCCATAAATTTTTACCAAGTTTTGGGTATACTATCTACAGTTAATGAAATTCACTGGCCAGAATCGTTTCAATCTGTTGGACAAATTCTCCAGTATCTCGACATTGTACGGTATGTCAATGTCATCAGCCCGAGGTGTTTATTTCCGGGTGTTTGGAATGCTTACATATCACTGTATATTGCCATCGCAACACCATTTTTTATTATTCTGTTGATATCTATCATCTTCTCTGTCTTGAGCGCCTACAGGAGGTACAAGCAACATAATTCAGTACATCACTCAACAGACAACTTCTTGTCAATTACGATGATGTTGTTGTATTTGACCTACGCCAACACTTGCTCAAACATCATGGCGGTCGGACCGTGGTCTGTCCGTACATTGAATGTCACAGCAAATGGTGAATATAAAAAACGTGTGTTAACCTCTGACTACTCCATTGACCTTGACGAAGAAGGTGGTTTGAAGTACAAAACAAACGAGTACATTACGTATTGTTCGTTAGTGTACGTGATTGGGTTTCCTCTTGCTATCATCCTGGTATTGTATCGCAGGTACAAACGTTACGAAGTAGTAGATCGCGAAGACGAACGACCAGGAACGATGGGAATGAGGTTCTTCTGCAAGCAATACAGCAAGAGGTTTTGGTTCTGGGAAGTAATTGATATGTATAATAAAGCTACACTCGCTCTTACCGCCAATTTTAAAGACGACCAAGCTTCCAACATGTCATATTCCCTCTTTATCACCGTCATTCTCATAGCTCTGCATCTGTATCTTGAACCAATGGAAGCTAAAGCAGATCAGAGGTTTCAGTTGTTGACACTTGTATTTATCATCGTCAACTTATCGGTTGGTGCAATTGTTGACATCGGAGAGTCCGTGTATACTGAAGACGAGACTATACTTGTTCTTCATGACATTACACCATTTATTCTACTACTACTCAACCTATCTATTGTGTTGGTTGTTTTCGGTAAGTATTTGGTTTTTTTTTGTCGCCAATTAAATTTGATGTTTGTACTAGTCGATTCTTTAAAAACTAAATAATTAAATTGAGAATATTGTAAAAAAATAAATAATGTTCTATTTTTTATGATAACAGTTGATCTAATAAAAAAAATCAAAGAAAGCTTCTGGAGAGAATGGATTGGATCACAAGAGCAAAACATTGTTGCCAGCGACTTTGAAAACACCGAAGATAATGCAAATTTAATGTTGCAGGCAGATTTCGATAGCTTATCTTCGTACAATCCAACGATTGGCAATTAGCATGAGAATATTTTTCTTGTAATTATATTTATAGAGGGTAACCCTAACCCTAACTGACTTCTTAAATAATGAAATAATGTGATGCTTTTATCAGCGAAGTCTTTTATGAGGCTTAGAGAGTGGAATTGTTTTTAGTCATAATAAAAAGTCCTGCTGTCTCAGGAATTAAACCCAGGACCCTGGGATTAAAAGTCAAGATTCTTAACCACTAAGCTATTCAACTCCACTCCGTTGATGTAAATTATTCAGTCATTAGTGTATTAAAACATTATAGCATGGAGGATACCTTCATGATTATAGAGTATTTTTTTTTATTAGGTTTAAAAGTTACTGTGTATAATGTTACGTAAATAAGTATGGTCGCTAAGATATTGCCATAATTGCTTTGGTTTATTATTATGAAATATAAATGTATCTTTTCTAAATAGTTTGAATATATTGTCTGCATGTTTCTTGAACAACTTCTTGCTGATCAAAATAGTTACAGCAATAATAGCCGTTATTTAATGTGCAGTGAGAAAGGTGCATTATAATAATTATATATCGCACAATGCTACAAAATCCTCTCAATGAATAATACAAATTATTGTACATACTATTAGCTACCGGTTGCTATTCATTTTATTCTTTATATTTTTAATTTCAGTAAAATGTTGGTCGAATGTGAGTGTAGTTTTTTAAGGGAGAATAGAGGGTAGTTTATTTCAGTACCAAAATCCAAAAAAATCCTCTAAATGAATAATACAAATTATTGTAAATAAATTAGCTACTGGTTACTATTTATTTTATTCTTTATAATTATTTTTAATGTCAGTAAAGTGTTTTTATCTTTATCTTTATTCTTTATTGGTCTAATATATTTAAAATAAATACATCAGAAATTCTTCATTTATACACTGCAATAAAAGGTAAGAAATTCAATATACAATTACATATAAAAGGTTAAGAAACACAATTCAATTACGATTTAAAATAGAAAAAGTTATGTTAAACGGCAAAAACAATTCAATATATACAATTCAAATACTTTAGGTAATACAATAAAATTTACAATTATTAGTTAGATTGATATTGATATGATATGATCAAGGTGTTCTCTCCATGGGTAGCAAAAATTATCTTTCAACATATTTGTTGTAAATTACAATAGAATGTGGAACAAACGATTTGTTATAGCGTTTAGTACGACTAGGTAAAGAGCGAATACGGATATGGGATGGGAGAAAATTGTACCTGTCTCTTATACACATCTAGATGTGTATAAGAGACAGGAACACCTGCATTATACTTAAAATTGAGCTTAGAAGAATCTACTCCTATTGCACGCCCCGCCCTTTTAGTGATCTTCGCCAACAATCCCTTATCTTTTTCATATAAGCTAGCTTCCCATATAATCCGTTGGTCGAATGTGAATGTAGTTTTTATTTTTAAAGGGAGAATAAAGGGCAGCTTATTTCAGTAGGCTTAACTGGTGTTAGCCACTGGGTGCACACTGAACCATGGTACCCTTTCATCCATTGCTGCTCTTTCAGCTGGAGGGCTGAAGTGCATTTTACACAAGAGCATGCCGTTTTCTTGATCCCGTGTGCAACCCAGGTGTACATGAAAAAACGCAGTAAACTCTGAGAAAATGTGATTGTCTCCTACTAAGTGTACTACCCAACTTACATTAATGTAAGTTAGGGGGCAGCTGACTTGAAAAAGTTATAGTGATTTGTTTTTTTAAGCTGCCTCCAACCTTGTTGGTCTAATAAATAACCTGAAACTGAAACTAAAATATAAAGAAAATCACTTCTCTGTGTTTATAATTTTAATGATATTGCATTATTTAGTATATATGTGTATAGGCCTATGTGTTTTATGATAACGCTTCACTTTTAATTGTGTTATATATTCCATTATTTAAATAATTAACTCCATCATGATTTAATAATGTTATATTGATGTTTACTTTTTTACCATGTAATAATGAACTATAAACATTACAGTAGTGTTCAGGTTTGTTGGTAATGGATCAGGTATATTTTGTAGTCTGTTTGACTTGGTACGGTAGTTAGTTTTACTAAAAAAAAAAAGTACATAATACTTCTTCAAAAATATGTTCTTCCTTTCCAAAATTACTGTGAAAAAATACACTCAAGTAGGTAGTTAAATGTCTTCCAAGTAGTTTTCAGGTTCGTAACACGCAGATGCTCAATGTTAACAACAATTCTATTAAGCTGATGGTCGTAAGAGAAAACTTCAATCAGGTTAGTATCCCAGTCCTTCTAGGACAGAGTTAGAGCTATGAATTTTGTGACACAATAGCCGGTAGGGAGAAGAGAGACCCGACAGAGAGGGAACAGGACGTGAACGGGAAAAGAGCATTGTGGTGGTTGTTGTGTCCATTAAAAGATTAATTGTAGACGGGAACCAAGGGTCTTCCTCATGAAAAAAATGTTTTCTAGATGCTCGGACTTACCTGAATTCTGAGGCGCCTCTTGATGACTTTCTTACAAAATCTGTTTTTCTTTTCATTTTTTTGTGTGTATTAATTTGAAGACAATAATGATGATGATAATGGTGATCATGATGACGGGTGGCGTAATGCGAGCAAAGGCGAGTGGGATTAATGCGAACAAACTTGAGCTCATGGTTGGAGCCAGGGAACAAGATGAGGCAGCTTTTATAACTGTACACTCATATTTATTTTTGTTGTATTCTTCAATTCCATCGTTTCAATTTCTATTAGTTTACAGTAAAACAAACGAAATGAATATACCTACTTATACATCTGTCTTAGTAAATTTGAGTGTATAATTTTCATTAACCAAACATTCAAGTAATTTGTAATGTAATTATAATCCTTACTTACAAAAACAAATTTGAATTTAACTAGTATTACCTTGGAATCGGATTAAAATCTTTAAGGGTAGTTGACATAACCACAGACCCTATATAACGCTATGCAGATGACGCTATAAGTGTATACCAAAGATCTTATAAACACAAGATAGCGTTCTCCGCGATTTACGCGTGCAAATTCTGTAATAAGGCATGAATGGCGACCTCTTGCCAAATTGGAGACTTTTGACCCTTGACCGCTATCCTGTGAACAGCAGAACAGGAAGCGATTATTTTTTCCGTACGAAACATTTACATGAAACTCCACTCGGGCTGTCTCGGCTGAATCGACCCGAAAATCTCATTGCAGAATTCAGGAGGTCAAAAGGTCATCAACAGATAAACGTCTACAAAACAGATAGGACGCCCTCTTCCAAACTGATTACTTTTTCTCTTTGGTATAATAGCGCATGAATGGCGCCCTCTTGCTAAATTGGAAACTTTTGAACCTTGACCGACGCTTCTATTTGTTACGAGTAAATCGCGGAGAACGCTATCTTGTGTTTATAAGATCTTTGGTGTATACAAAGCACATGAAGAAATTCATGAAAAAAGTCGACACCTCACCACAAAATGGCACATATTTCAATTTCGAATAATTATGTAAAAGGAAATCTAGCTTTATTGTTTGGGACAAATCCAGCTTTGTGTGGCATTCTACTTGACAATGCATATATAGATGTCGACATTTCCTAATCCTGTAACCGTAGTAAATGTTTTTTTCTCGATTTGCTCATCATTATTATGATTATTCTGATCATGCTCAGAGAACAATTACAATGCATTCTTGTAGTGAGGGCACCGAAACAGAATTCACCAATTTTGATTACTGCGACTCTGACGTACCATCGACTACTACTCTGGACCATTTGCTGTGACATTATCAGGACTTCAAAAGTCCTGATAATAATAATAATAATAATAATAATAATAATAATAATAATAATAATAATAATAATAATAATAGTCCTGATAAGTTCTATACCAATAAAATGTTTCTAATATTCAATGGACATCATCTTTAAAGACAATAAATGGTTTACGATTGCTTTCTCGCTTAGCACAATAGATTGCAAATATGTTGTGTGAAGAGTGTCGAAAGACAATTTGAATTATTAAATGGTTCATCGTGAACATTTTTTGAACTTTGAAACTAAACAAATTGTTACAACTGGTTCCTAAAAACATACTTTATAAAAGCTAAATACCGCCCCCCCCCCCCCCCCCCCCCGCCTTTCTATTTTATTCACTCAGTTGCTCAACTTATTTGATGTAATTCTTTGTATTTTTCTGATGTTCAAATCTTTCAACCGTAACTTATATATTATCATTTTTATGATGAATTTTTCTACTCGGTTTCCATAATTATTGGTGCTACTTTATTGCATGTTATTGTAAATTTTGGGCTTTTTTTTCGATTTTTCAATTTTTGCATTTCTCTGACGTTTAATTATTGTAACTGTTTTTAAATATTTTGTAAATAACATACAATTTGGCCCTTGGCCCCCATATTTTATCAGTTAAAATGAAAGATTTTGAATAAATAAAGTGATACAGTATATATAGGCCTATTGTTCGTGAAATTTGAATCTCTATGCATGCATGTTTGCTTTCAAACTATAGAGGGCGCAAATATAAAGTCTATTGATGCCGAGTTTCGCACTACGTATTATTTCACTTCGATGAGGTAAGTTTGTAAGCTTCCGATTGTAATACCAAGTCCATAACGGAACTACTGTGCCATTTCTGTTCCTATCGAGCATGCCTTAAACAAATTAGGAATATGAGCCTTTCTTGTGTCTGTGCTTTTCTAATTTGAGTGTTGGAATTTAAATTAGGATAATCAGTATTTCTAAAAAGGGACTGGATAGATTACAAACATCTCAAATATCGTAGCAGTGTAGGCCTATTTGATTAATTTCTCACAAGCTCGTTTCTTATTTTCTATATACTGTACAATTCTGCTGGTTTAAGATAATGATAAGGTATGGCGTTTGGCTTTGCTTGTACATATTAGTTTTTGAAAGTAGGTGGTTTAAATTGATTTTTCTTTTTCAAACCATTTTGGTGGCCTATTTGAGTAGGTATCCCAGGAACTGGATACAGTGAACTTAGATTTGCATACCGTAAAACTTCGAATTGAAGCCCAGTGGGCCTAATCTCGAGATGAAGCCTATTTCGAAATGAAGCCCCCTCTTTAGTTTGCAAAATTTGCCTCGAAAATAAGTCCATCTCAAAAAGAAGCCCATGGGCTTCTTTTGAAGATAGCATAGGCTAAACAAAATAAATTAAAAACAAACTTACCTATTTTTTTTCTCTTTTATTTGGATGATAATACGCCAGGCTGTCACAAAATCAAAATTAGGAATTTTTTTGGGCGTCTGTTTGTGAAATTTTCAAGGGTCTCCGTTTTATTGACACCCTATATGGGTGTCTACAAAAGGAAGACCGAAGACCCGAAAAAACGAAGACCTCCAATTATTTCTCAATTATCTTTAAACTGAAAGTATTTCAAAATTAGCACAAAACAGTTGCCAAGTATCTATAGCATTATCCAGGGCTGTGACGAGGACGCTTCTACCAACCGAGAGATAAAAACAACTCGTGGGAACAGGCGGCCTGTAAAATGGAGCATGAAGACATTGGACTTCGAAAAATGTTTACTTTGAACATTTTTACTTAAAACAACCTAGTTTTAACATTCATTCTTCTCTACTTTGGATCAGATGATTTCATGTGAGCGACAGTAGCCAAACCAGAACAAGTATTGACATGTATATTGTACCGAACTAATTCATTTATACAGTATTGAAAATCAGGGTCGGCATTTTAGCATTTTTTTTTTTTTAGACTACAAGGAACAATAATTTTTTTTTCATGAGGTTTAGGGCTGGATAGCCTTGGACTAGGATAAGGGGCCAAGGTCTAGCCTACTTGGGTGCATGGTATGCAATGCAATCCAAAATTGTTGTATTATCTGTGTTTTTAAGCATAAACAGTGGCGGCTCTAGGATATGTTTTCGGGGGGGGGGGGGTGCGCGCTAAGTTGTCCAACAGTGGGACTTGAGCTCATATGCTTGAGCTGGAGGAAGGGGTTGAGAGGGGGTTCCCCTCCCAAATGAGATTTATTTTTAAGAATAGCAACCTCTGGATGGCCGGGAATGGCACTCTCAGACTGTGACAGACGTGTTGGCTTGGTGTGGGCCTATTTTTACAGTATATGTTTTATGGTCTGACTGCTCGACGAGCTCTGTCTGGTGTGGGGGGGGGGGTGCGTGCTTGACCTGTCCGGTGGGGACTTAAGCCCCCTGTCCCCCGCTGACGCCGCCACTGAGCATAAACACATTTTTGGTAAAAAAAAAAAAAAAAAGAGTTTTCCTAGTGACCTACCCATTTTTTGGATTTTCCCAAAACGTGGCCAACACAATTTTTTTTTTTTGGCCTAATAAACATCCAGCTAATGTCCATTTGTAAAACTCTTGTCGGTCTCACTCTTTCTGATCTCTCATCGCATATCATACCTCAAATATGCGTCACACCAAAGCCTCCAAAATTGTTATAAGCACTGCAGAAGACATTAAATCATATACAGTAAATGTGAATACAAGAGAACAGCTAGCAGACAGTGAAACAATCATATGAACTGAAAAACTTGTTTATTACGTCCAAGGGGTTTCTACAACACAATTTAGATACTAACTTTACGATTGAAGTCAAACCACTCAAGCAATCAGTTGAGAATTATCAACTGATCATAACTACAATGCACAATAAACATTTTATCAATAGTAATTAGACAGGTAAGTGACTTGTTATAATTATTGAAACGTATATTTGAATATGTTAATTTCCTATATAGGTGAAATCTGATCAGATCCACCTGTCGGTGGTAAATCCAAGGTATTTAAACCGGTGAATGAGGTATAATTATAATCTTATCTTAACCTAGCGAGCTACCCTATTCATAGACATAGGATACTGTATTTTCACTGTTGAACAGCTGGATCATGGAGACCAACACTCAAGTTTTACACCAAACATCTGGTATGATGAGACTAAACTGGAAGAGCTCTCTAAAAGCAGAGATAAAAAAGCAGGAAACCTGTACTATACTACTGGGGCCTTTATCTAGATATAAACATCCACAATAATTGCTAGAGGGCGCTAATAATTTTAACACACATACATACATTATACATACATATTAACACACGTATTACAGTAATAATTATATGGAGTCTTAAATTTGAAAGAATGAGAATACCAGCTAACCAATATGTTGTCTTATTTCTGGGTGTACAGCTGTGATTCAAATGCATATCTTCCAATCTAGGAATTCATTTCATCAATAACATCTTTGATATACCTGTCTCTTATACACATCTAGATGTGTATAAGAGACAGCTTTTGAAGATAGCATAGCATCTAGATGTGTATAAGAGACAGCTGGTATACTTCAGTGTTTTCCCATGGAGATGTTTTTTTTTTTTTTCTATACCAAGCTTAATATCATATAGATATACATACAATGTAAAATCATATGTTTGAACAAAAGGGAGGAATTGAACATTTAACAAAATATATATAGAGCTAAACAGAAGGAATGTTATATGTTCTTTACAAATCATTCTGTTCAAGAGGTGGTTATTAAGAATCAGTTAATAGTAAAATGTGTATATACTGTAATACTGCAATGGGCCTAAATATTCAACTTCAAACAGTGTAGTTGAATATTTTTCTGGTTTGTCACGGCGGGCAATTATGTAAGCGCCAGCTATAAGTCTGCTAGGGATGCATTTTAAGCCTGTTATACAAATAATCATAAGTAACAAACATCAGGCTTGACATTAAATATATAAAAACTTTTAACAATCAGTACAAGAAAATCTTGATCTCAGATTTTCAGGAGGTCCTGTCAACCAGACTTTAAAAACCAATTACAGTATTAAAAATAATATATTGTAGTTTTAATAAAATGTTGTTGAGACAGAATTAATGACTGATTGTAATTTGTGAGACAAAACTGGCCATGTTAAATTTTTAAATGGCAGTCCATGTTTTGATGGTTAATGTTAATTCATGTGGAATACTGTAGCTAAGATATAATCTAGATAAGCTATCTTAAACACTACCAAATTACATGCAATATATTTCAAATTCCATATTTTGGAAATAAGAAATTTCTGTTGATTCTGATTTGCACGGGGTAGTAAAGAAATAACCACTAGATAAATTATGGGTTAGAACAAATACAATATTCCATTCCATGGTCACTATTTAAAATGAAGTGATTAAATTTGGTATAGCGTGTGGGTTTATACTGACAGCTTGGGTAATTGTTGGTTATATTTTTTTTTGTGTCTTGTATTATTTGAAAGGAATTTATCTTTCTTGTTACCAAAACGGATACAAAAAAGTTGGGATTATTTGTAGGTGTACAACATTTTTTTTTAGTTAGCTTAATCGGCCTCCTCTTCTGCTTCATTCTCGCTTGTCCACAGCGTCAGGTTGTCCCTAAGTAGTTGCATGATTAGCGTCGAGTCTTTGTAGGAATCTTCAGTGAGGTGGTCGAGCTCGGCAATTGCCTTATCAAAGCTTTCTTTGGCAAGCTTGCACGCTGTTTTAACCTCCCCCTTCATCTCGTAGAAGAAAACCGAGTAGTTAAGTGCAAGGCCTAGACGAACGGGATCAGTCGCGACCATATCGACTTTGGAGGCTTTTTCGTACGATTCACCGGCTTTTCTGATCTCTTCAGCTTTCCGGTCGTCCTCGGATACCTCAGCAGCGTATCGATGATAATCTCCTTGCATTTTGCGATAGAATACCACATCTTCCACATCCTCTTCCACGGTTTCCGAAACTTTTGTTAGCAAGTACTTTTCTATGAGTTCAAATACCTCAGTACAGATATCCAGTAATTCATTTACGATCTTCTCCTTGAATGTGGAGGCCAATTCCCTTTTTCGTCCTTCATGCTTCTGCTCCATAGAGGAGATGACCCGCCAGGCAGAACGCCTCGCACCTGCAATGTTCTTGTAGGCCACAGAGAAAAGGTTGCGTTCTTCAACCTGTAGCTTCTCCGTAGATTCGGTGATTACTTTTTTCATGGTAGATGCCATGTCATCATACCGCTCCGCCTGCTCGGCCAACTTGGCGTACTCAACTAATTCTTTCTTGGTAGACATGTCTGAAAGAATTCAGAAGGAAAACAGAGACTGTCAATAATACATACAGTACTTTAAACAATCCAAATTTGTATAAGAGCAGTGGCATATCTAAAGGGGAGGGTAGATGCAGTTCACCCCCTTCCCCCAGTTGCACCCCTCATTGAAAATGTTCGAAGTAAAAAAAAAGCATGTTCAAGTAGATAAAAATCATCTCATACTGTGTCACCTCTTTTTGCAAGCAGGCTCCCTCTCGCTTAATCAAGCCTGAACTTCACCTTTGCAAACCCCCACCCCCAATTTCATGACTCCTACATACATCACACTCTATGAAGAGCATAGAAAAGTTTAAGAATTGAACATGAAATTACAAGTACAGTACTATAAAGTTCACACAATTTTAATTGAAAAAACTTACAAAATTTCCCCTTTTACTAGAATTTTATATCTTTTACTATAATTTTATATCTTATATAAGAACATATTGGACAAGACACAAAAAATCCAAATAAATTTTGTACATGGTACCATCCTGATATCTAAAGAACTCCTCCTACTGAAACATTGTCTAAATTTGCGATCAGAAGTGGTTTAAGGATATTTATGTACACTGAATGGATTGTAGGTGTGCTGCTTAACGCAATGTTCCCGGAATGCTCTCTGAATGAGAATGTGCAAATAATCGATAACAAAATTGGAATGTGGGTCTCATGGTATGGTTACGTATACAGATTTTGGGGTATACACAAAAATGACCTGTGCAGCATCTCTCTTTTGAGACACAATTAGAGCTGCAATTCGTAGCTTTAGGGAGATAATTGTTTTAATAATAATACGATGCTTTCCTATTAAATTTACGCAGCAGCCAAACACTGTAGTTATTATCAGTGCAAAAATAAAACTTATTAAAATCTGTTGTGATGTTACTTGGATGACGTGAGCATTTACATTGACACGGTCCCTACCCAGATTTTTATCTGGATTTTCTCCTGTTCTAGTTCATTTCAAGCCTTTCTGTGATGATTACCGGTAACGTTGATAAAAATAAATGTGTTTAAAAATTAAAGAATACATCGTAGGGCATTAAAATCATTTGTTTGAATACATGTTGCATTTTTATGCAACACAAAAGCTACAGTAGAATAGAAACATTATGTCACTCAGTACAATCCACATACAAAATAACCCGCTTTTAATATAAAAATAAACACTACCACCATACTGTATTCATTTGCTGTTTGTTATGCAGCATTCACCCTCTGAGAAAGATGACCAGGGTTAACGGATCGTCAGAATATATTTTGAATGCTTTTGGAATGGAAAATGCTTCTGCCTGTATGCCGAGCACCACATCACTCTGTCCGGCAGTCACGTCAAGTAGTCTTGTCAAGTGTTCAGTGTGGATCACCACAGAACATAATGTAAGGATCTGTTCACATTATTAAAATATACTTTGACAAAAAAAAAAAAAAACTGTTATATGTGCCTCTCCTGTATATGGTACCATAATGCAATATGTTCAAGTTCATCAAAACATCCGTTTTGTTGACCCACTGTAGCACTACTGACCCTTAATGCCCTGAGATAGATAGGCTAAAAAATTGTTCTGTTTTTATACTGTACTCTGAGAAACATATTGTCGCAATGGTACTTCATGGTACATCTATGGAGACACTTTGAAGACAAAAAAGAATACTAGCTTTGTTTGGTTTACTTTAAAGGCCAACTCAGACAGCGTCGGCCGACGCAGCCCGACGCGATTTGTTGTCGCCTCGGGTCTGTGTGAGTTGAACGCAGACGCGATGGTGTGCATCGGGGGCAGTCGCGTAGTAGAATATTAAACGTGTTTAATATTTCTCACGACGTCTTAAGACTGTCCCCGACGATAAATCGGGTCGGGCTGCGTTGGCCGACGCTGTCTGAGTTGGTCTTAAGGTACTATAAACGGTCAGGACAGACCTACAGTAGGTCTAACCAGGCCATGTCGATGAATACTGTAAGCCCGAAAATTTACTCACTATAGTCTTTAATACTGAGCCTTAAGCAATGTCACAAAGAAGTTCTCACGGATATAAAAATTAATTTTTTGCACCTTGATTTGACTTTGGTCAAAGGTTATTTTTCTTCTGCTTTCTGATAATTTATCAGGTAATATGTGCAGCGGAAACACCATTTCTTTCTGTACCGTTCTACAAATAGTTTCCCTATTCGATCACCTTGACAATGAATTAATCATCATCTTTGTTTCAGAGTAAACTTCATTGTTGAAGGCACTGCTTCACTGGTAGTGGCTTTAATTAAGCTTGGTTCCCACCATACACAACGCAACGTAAGGAAATGCTCTTCCGGCAATTTTGTATCCCCCCTCAAACAGAAAGTTGAAGTTACACTTCTTACGTGACGCAACGTAAGAAAATGGATACAGTTCCCACTTGCCGCCGCGTAAACGCTATGATTACATGGGAAGCTGTTATGAAAATATCATTCATTGTAGGGCTACCAATGTATTGTAGGTTGAGACTGGGTTGTGTTCTGAATATTACTTATCACAGGCCTGGCTGGGTTAGCCTTAATGCTTTAAATTTAATCAATTTTTGCTGTAATGATAGGCCTGAAGAAAAAATAATTATTATAAATCAACAATTATAAATATTTCGCAGATATACGCGCACCTAGATTAGGCCTACTGTAGGTCCGTTTAATAAATATACAATTTGCACTTATTGTAATTATTAACATAAACATTATGTAATTATACTGCATCTAGAACCTTATTTTAAAAGGTATGATAATGTTTTATTGTATTAGTTTGACATATTAAATTAAATATACAGTACACTGTTTGCTTAATGTTTAATTACAAATTGTATGACATTTTCATGTTTTTGTAAATCTAGGATTTAAATTTTGTTTACTCATATCTGTATAACAAGGCCTGAATATATTTCCTTAACATATGATTACATACTGTATATTAAGACCAACATAAAAAGCTAAAATGAGAGTCAAACAGAGTGTGCTAGACTAGCAAAGAATATATGCCAGGATTATTTCGATGGGATAGGGGGTTGGGACGAGAAAATAATGGGCATGGTCAGATCTCTCGAAAGTGCCATGGAGGCAAAGCCCTAAAATATATGCTTATGGTTAATAATGGGTTTCAAATTCTTATTTAATGTAATCGATTTAGAGGCTACTGATTATGTAGAAAATACACAATTTTGTTGTTCTCCCCGACGACTTGTGGTTTAAAGAACGGTTGGGTAAGATGCATTGCATATTATTATAAATATTAAAGTTTACAGTATTATATGCCATTCAGTAGAAGGGCACCGTAATTGGCTCTATCAAAACCAGGCTAGGCTTGGCTAGGCCAGGCCAGGCCAGGCTATGATAAGTTATGATAAGATAGGCTATGATAATAATAACAGTAATAAGAGCAGCATGCATCATTGATAACAACCAATAATAATTATTAAATTGGCAAGAATAGAGCAATTGCGACGGTCTAAGATGACAGAAAACTCATAAAAAATATGTAAACAAGAAGCACCAACTACAAATCCAACAGTTAGAGCATGTGCAAATTAGCTTTTTGCTTGCGTTGCAGCCCTTGCGTTGCGAAAGTTGAATCGATTCAACAGACGCAACCATCGTGTCTGTGTTTAACTCACACAGACCAAACGCGGCCTTTAGAAGCACTGTTCTGAAAAATGGTATGTCATTTAGGGCAATAGAAAAATTTATTAGATTATCACTCCTGCCCGCGTTAAAAATTTGGGAAATATTGATGCGGGAATAAAAAAAAAACTTTTTTTGCCGCATCAATTAATTTTAAACAGCATAAAAATAACAATGCAATTTTGTGATGTCAAATACATTTTCTTTAAAAAACTATAAATTAAACCATTTTTTTCATACAATATTTACTATGACTATAGCCAAATATAAACAGTCCCTCCCTCATCGATAAAAACAAAAGCAAAATAATCTATTATTCCGATAAAAAAAAAAAAAAATGCCCTTCCTCATCAATTTTTTTTTACATGCCCTTAGTGATTAATTATAATCACACATCCATATTGACAGTAAGGGCTCTTCCTAATTCATATCCTATCAATGCACTGTATGATGTATGTTACTGTATGTCTGAGTGATAATAATGCCATTCTTACTTACAGTACAAGTATGACAGCATCACAAACAATTAGACTATTAATGTAAATCATATTATTAGCTCTTTTTAATGCACAGTATCAAGCCATTTTACATACTGGTACTAAAAAAAAAAATTAAAAAAATCTAGCAATATACAATAGAACCTGAGGGTGTATGTAAATCCTGGGATTTGTAAAATCAAGGTTACTGTACAGTAGATTAAATTTGTGGTGACCTTTGACCTACATACACTACAGAGAGAGTCAACAACTGTATGTTATGAACTGAAGATGTTGCCTACATGACAGCAGACGATGTCATCATAAAATGTATGAAACTATGTGTTTATAGAGTGTTTTTAGTCATGACAAAAATGTAATATTTGTGTTCAAATAACCATTTATCTAGTGTACTGTGTACTTACTTATCACTTGTCTTTATAGTTAACTACAATACAGATTTTCAGCACCGACAGTAAATTTTCATCTCGCACAGTCCATTTGGTTTTAGGTTACGGTATAACAGCGCATTTATAAACACAAATCAACTTTGCTGTTTATGAAAATTACTTGGATGGTTTGTTTATTATATACGGTATTGAAATAAAATAAAGACAGAAATTTACGAGAGTTGTTTTTTCATTCTGGTTTATTTCGAGTATTTTTTTTATGATGTCCATCGTCGGATTGAGGCGTACGTACAACTGAGTGTTCGTATTAACTGAGGTGCGTAAAAAACGAGGTTCTACTGTACTGTAAAGAGAGCACACTGTTTAGATTTTAGTTTGAGATTTAATCACATGTTTCTAATGTAAAATGTGGTTGGACTTTTGCTATATACAAAAGCTCAAAGTGCACATCAGCCA